CATAAACTTATTAAACTTATCGAATCGGCCTAAAATCATTCGGTCAATTTTTTACCAGATGTCCCAAAATTTATGAGGACAGCTGTAATAACCGGGTGGGTTTTAAAAAAAAATTTCATAAAATTTTTATAAGTATATGAAATTTAAAAAAAAAAGCCGGCCGGCCGGGTCTATTTAAAAATTTCATGTTATGAAAACTAATTAAATTTGTATGGCCTTATGGTATAGTATAGTAAAAGTTTTTTGATTTTAACGGATTATCAATCTTCATACATAATCAGAGTTATCAGAATTTCAAGAATTTCAAAGTCAATTTCTCAATTATTTTCATAACCTGAATATCAGATATATAAAACTGTAGAAAAATTTCTTATATATATATATTATATATACTGTAGAATAATATCAGATATGCTGATCAATTTACATTAAAAATATATCGATACTATCGCTATACACAAAAAGTGGTTTTGGACGAAAACTGGTAAACTTCGGGTTACACGAACAATTGGTTCCAGTATTTATCATACCGGCTGATACCTCGGAACAGCTGCATTAATATTAACCGCTGCAAATAATTGTCGTCATCCTCTTCAGATTTATAAAAATTACATTCTCTATATACTTGTGAATAACACGGATCCTTATCTTTTTTCATTCATTACGTCCTTGTTCGGACACCACACACCACATTTCTTATTGTGGTTGTCGCATTTTGTAGTTGTCGACTTTACTCTTAAAATTCTCTCGCAAATAGCATTTGTACAAAATAAAAAAGCGACAAAGGTATGAGCATTCAAACGAAGAAAGCTTCCTATTTAGCTAATCAAAATTCACATCACGCGTCTGGCTTGAAATGAGTAACTGATCAAATTCTTACGTTTTACTTTTCTTTCCCTAAATTTTATACATTTTTTCCTTTGGCATTATTTGTTAACACTTTGTTAATTCGTGCTAAATGAAAAAATGTAACAGTAATTACATATTCTTTGAATAAGTTCTACTGACATGTCGGGGACTGGAACTGGAAACAATAATGAAAAACGCGCTGGTCATTGGGGGCCACGTCAGCCCCCAAATCTTGATCCTAATCATGAGTGGGCTGCACTTCGTCGTCGTTACGAATGGAAGGACTCTTACGATGAAGATGTTGCCCCAAAAGATGAACAGTTGGAAGCGGAACTTTTTGGAGAAGATAATCACGTACACACTGGTATTAACTTCGCGAAATATGATAGCATAAAAGTGGTTGTTAAAGGCAAAGATATAAAGCCCATATCCACGGTAAGATTTATTTGTGATAAAACTATCATTGAGACAATATTAGTAAAATTTTTGCTGTCATTGTAGTTTGATGAAGCAAATCTTCACTCAGCTATGAAAGAAAACGTCCGATTGGCACGATACAAAGTTCCTACACCAGTTCAGGTATTGTTAGATCAGGGTATTCTTTTATTTATCATATTTTAGATGTAGCGATAGATATTACAAATTATACAGATATTTGATATTGTTCGGATTAGTCCTTGTTATAGTATTGCGATGTGAATCCAAATTAATCCAACTTTTATTCTTGCTATTATTATTATATCACTTTTAGAAATATTCTATTCCAATTATTACTGACGAAAATGATTTGATGGCCTGCGCTCAAACCGGTAAGTAAAGAATCAGAAGAGTTTTGTATTTTAATTATACGTGTTTATTATTTACTTCACATGAACTTCACATGAATCTCTTGACAGGGTCGGGTAAGACAGCGGCTTTCCTTATTCCAATATTATCTAAGCTGTTTGGAAAAGCCAAAAAGCTTGCGGCTCCCCGACCGCCACCTGGCACACGTCGGTATAAAGCAGAACCATTGGTTCTAATCCTTGCACCAACACGTGAGCTGGCAACCCAAATTTTTGATGAGTGCCGTCGATTTACCTATAGGAGTATGATGAGGCCATGGTGTGTTGATATATATTTTATATTAATGAAAAAATCTTTTTATAGAATTATTAATTATATATAATAAATTCGGTATATTATTATAGTGTGGTCTATGGAGGTGCTGAAACTGCCCCGCAAAAGAATGAATTGGCAAAAGGTTGTGACGTGTTGACAGCTACTCCAGGTCGTTTGGTTGATTTCTTAGAGAGGGGTCTCATTAGTCTTCGCAGAGTCAAGTAAGTTTACGATTTATCATATATTACATTATTTTTTTAGTATTAGATTTCCAATTCTTGTTTTGTAGATTTTTAGTTCTTGATGAGGCTGACCGAATGTTAGATATGGGATTCGAATCAAAAATTAGAGACATTGTTCAAAAGTCAGGTAATTTAGACATTAAAATATATTTGTTTAAATTTTTTTCAGTTAATAAATTCCTTCAAAATAGATATATTGGATGATGGTACACGACAGACACTGATGTTTTCGGCCACATTTCCAAAGCAAATCCGCAATCTTGCTCGAGATTTTCTAGCGAATAATTACATATTTCTTACTGTTGGTCGCGTTGGTGGGACTACGAGTGACATAACTCAAAAGGTATTTATGACCAATTAAAATTGTATTCATAGCTTCATATTTGTAGGTTTGATATTGATTAACAAATTGCAAAAAAGATTATGTACGTAGAAGATCATAAAAAACGGGATCAACTAGTTGCACTTTTATTGAAACAACCTCCTTCGCGCACTTTGATTTTCGTTGAAACTAAACGTGGTGCAGATTCGCTTGATGATTTCTTGTATAGTCAGAATTTCCCAACCACAAGTATTCACGGCGATCGTACGCAACAAGAGCGTGAAGATGCGTTACTATCTTTCAAGTAAGCACATTCCAATCGCGTCATACATTATGCATATTAGTTTATAATGAAATTTTTATGCATAGGAATGGCCGATGCCCCATTTTAATTGCTACAGCTGTTGCCGCTCGTGGACTTGATATCAAAAATGTGATGCACGTAATCAATTATGATCTTTGTGAAGATATTGATGAATATGTTCATCGTATTGGAAGGTTTGTGGTATTATTAATGTTATATTCTTCATTTTGCCTTTTCAACTGTGCACGAATTTTAAATGTTATTATCATTTCACAGAACTGCTCGCGTTGGTAATCAAGGGTTAGCTACTACTTTTTACAATGATAATAATTCAGGTATTGCTAGAGACTTGGTAAAAATTTTGATCGAGTGTAAGCAAGAAGTTCCCGATTTCTTACAAGAATATGTGGGCTCAATTGATCTGTAAGCAATTAATATTTATTTTTGTTTATTTACAAATCTGTTTTATTATTCATAATACTAACGTCTGACGTATCTCAATTTCTATAAAGTCGGTTTGAAGATGATGAGGACGAATCAGGAAATAATTTGTCAAATAGTGACTTTGCACAAAAAAGTAGCGGATATTCCTCGCGGGACAATAACCAGAAGTCCTGGGATAATAGCAATCAGAAACAATGGGATAATAATGATCAGAAACGATGGGATAACAACAATCAAGGACAATGGAATAACAATGACCAGAAGTCTTGGGACAATAATAACCAGAAATCTTGGGATAACAATAGTCAGCAACCTTGGGGCAGCCAGAAGCAAGACTCAAACTGGGATGTGAATCAAACCCAATATTCAAGGCCGCAATCTCAAACGACCTCATCAACGGTATTCAATGTTAACGACAATTATACCATTTAACTGATTTAAGCAATACCAATAATACCACTTAACAGGTTATTGTTCCAATTTTTACAGGTTGCTAGTACTGATAACTGGTCAAATACGTCCACTGTTCAGTCTACATATCAGCAACATCCATCTAACCCACCTTATACACAACCTCAACAATCTCAATATGCAACATCTACATATAATATGCAGCCATCTTCACAGCCTCCGTATGTTGGAGCACAACCTGTAGTTAATCTTCCGAAGAACAGTCAATTTAATCAGCCCACGCAACCCCAATTTGGATACGATTCACAGCCCTCACAGCAGAAAAACCTTGGTGCTAACTATAATAATTCTTCATCTAACGGATTTGAACAAAATGATTACTATAATAATAATAGTAATACTTCATTCGGCAACAATGCAAACAGATTTGGTGATCCTAACAATAATACTAGTAATGATAATTCACCATCTCGTCCTCGTTCAAAATCACCAAAACAGCAAAGAAATCAACAACGAACTCGTAATAATGGAAATTGGCAGCCAGATGATAACACTGGAAGTCGTAATACAAATCCAATTAGTTCAGAAGGTTGGGGTAATAATAATGATGCCACTCAGAATGCACCAAAAGAATGGAATCCAAATAACGTTCCTTGGAAATAAATGTTAGACATCGATATCTTCTTCGCTCTGATTTTTTCATTATTTTAACATAAATACAGAATTATACATGATTATTTTCTAGGATTCATTTGACGGGATTATTCGCTATTGCAGGATAGATATATTTCCTGATTTTGCTTTCACAAAGAATAAAATTTTCATTGCTATTAAATGAATTTTCTATGATTAGTATTTCTTTATTGTTAATCCTTTGCCCATCCTTTACATTTCAAATTCATTGAACGTGCATCGATGATGTGCTTGTGAACTAAGCTATTTAAAAAAAAGAACTATGCTTCCGAAATGTTTATATCAATAGTTTATTGTTACTAGATATGTTAAAGCGCACTTAATTCGTTGACTCGTAAAAGAAATATATTTTAATAGCTTGTACAATTGTCAGTCACCTCATTTATAATTACAACCTTTATATATCAGATATTCGCACGATTTTTTTTTTATATTTGAAATGCTTATATAGCATAGAAGATGGTTACAATTTGGTATGTATAGTACGTACGTACGTACGTAGCTTGAACCCAGTGATGTCTTCGTGATCATCACATCACATAGTTAAGCACTCGGCCTAAATTAGGGTCAGTGCTGGGATTAGGTGATAGTATAGTTTAGGCCGATTTGTTTGTGCCGGTAAACAATTAATAATGTGATAATTACTGGATTTCTCTCAAATATTTTTATACAACTAGCTAGTGTTTTTTTCCTAGTACCCACGGGAACTGAAAGTTATTTATTGTTAATGTAAATCTAAATATAAATTTTACATATTAAAGCCCTTACCCGGGTCAGTTTAATCCGTACAAGTCAGCTTCTTGGTGGGTCACGGGGTTATACGGGTCTTGGAGACGTTAGTAGCCGGAAAGTCTACGGACACGTACAGGTCACGTGATTTTTGCACGTACCGACGATCAAACTATCGAAGTAGAATTTTTCTTAATTTTGGACAAATTTTCTCGACAACTATCCAATAGAATTCGATGGAAATTTTTTTGGATAGATTCTGTGAATTAGTAGAATTTATTTAAAAAAAATTTCATCAAATTCAATTAAATAGTTGTTGAGAAATTTTCGTTCAAAGTTTGGAAAATTTTTTAATGCTCGAGAAAATGGCCGCGGCAGAAATTTTTCCAAACTTTAAACGAAAATTTCTCGACAACTGTTCAATAGAATTTGATGAAAATTTTTTAAAATAAATTACACGGATTAGTAGAATTTATTAAAAAAAATTTCATCAAAATTCTATCAAGTGGTTATTGAGAACTTTTCATTCAAAGTTTAGAAAAATTTCTGCCACGGCTATTAAGAGGCGTTGAAAACTTTCCCAAACTTTAAATGAAATTTCTCAACAACTATCCAATAGAATTTGGTAAAATTTTTTTAAAATGAATTCTACTAATTCGTAGGATTGATTTAAAAAACGTTTCATCGAATTCTATTGAGCAGTTGTCGAGAAAGGTTCGTTTAAAGTTTGGAAAAATTTCTGCCGCGGTCATTTTCTTGAGGCGTTGAAAAATTTCCCAAACTTTGAACGAAAATTTCTCAACAACTATCTAATTGAATTTGATGAAATTTTTTTTAAATAAATTCTACTAATTCGCAGAATATATTCAAAAAAATTTTCATCGAATTCTATTGGATATTTGTCGAGAAAATTTGTCCAAAATTAAGAAAAATTCTACTTCACGTACGTTATATATCACGTGATCGTCGGTACGTGTAAAATCACGCGGCCTGTACGTGTCCGTAGACTTTCCGTTCATTAATAGTGTTACAAATCGGACCAAAAAATGCAATCGATTAGTCAATTAATCGATTAAGACTAGTCGATTAGTTGGTATATCGAAATGGCTTGGGTATAATTGCGTAGCTATTAATTACAAGATCAAAGTATGATACCATATAAAACAACTAGTCGATTAGTCAACTAATCGATTAACTAACTAGTCGATAAATCAGTTAATCGTCAACAATCGATTAGTTGTCTAATAAAATTATCAATCGATTAGTTGCCAATTCGATTAATTAATCGATTAATCGATTTTCGATTTGGAACACTAATCATTTACTTTAACGTTAAATGGATTTACAACCAAGTTCTGCGGATGAGGTTTCCATGGAATGTATAGAAGCTATCGAGTCCAACTTAGATACTAACATTATTAGCAATGCCAACAATAAAGAAAGAAAATGGTGGATCGATGGGAATTATAAGTTTATCGATGAGAAAAGGTAGTATTTATTGTGTATTATCAGTTTTCTATTGACTGTGCTAAAGTTTTGCATATTTTATTAGATTGCCTCTGCGTCTAATTAAAAATGTGACATTCCAAGAATATGAAAAGAAAAGCGAAATTGCGAATGCAGGAAGATGTTGGGAATTTACAATGGTGCTGTGATCATATATGAGTTACCATACCGTGATCATGAAGCTGCACACGCTGATTTCACTACTCAATTTTTGTCTGCTTTTGCCAATCTACCACGTCAAGACCGTGTTTCTTATACTGCAGCACCAAGTATGTATAGATTTCTGCTTTTGATGCGAATAGTGAAAAAAAAAAGAGATCAGTCTCGACACAATTGTTTTGACCACGTGTAAATATCATTAATTCCGTTATATCCAGCTTGTTGGGATTCGGAGCGAAGTTCTGCCAAACAACCTGATACTTCATTCGTGCCCAAATGCTTGCCTAAGCCATCTCCTCATCCAAGTGATGCTCAGGTATGACGTATCCTTGATTGTACTAACATTGCAAGATATAATACCGATAAATCTTGATACACAGGGTAATCCTTGGCCAACTGTTGTCTGTGAAGTTGCCCGATCCCAAAGTCTTTCGCATATACTCCAGAAGGTCAACTCATTCTGGTTGGCTCCAAATCGGTCAGAGGATGTGATCGTGCTCAAACTGTGGTCATGGGATAATGAGAGAAATACGAATGGGCGACCCTTGCGTCGCTTTACAGTTTAGTATTATTTATAAGTTTATTTCATTTTTATCTATTAACCCAATGACTTTTATTCTTAATAGTGCTATAAGTTTTGTCGTCAAGCAAGCCTTCTAGCAGGGCAAGCACAAGGAAATTTCTGGCCAGTTCAAACGGTATGAAACTGCATTTTATTCCATCTTGTCTTACAACATTTCTTTATATAATATCTATTTTTATAGCTCGAATTTGGGACCATCGATGGAAATAATGCACCGTATAATGGTTGTTCAGCTCCGGGAATGCGTACAGTGACAATCACACCAGCATGTGCTTATCAAGGCTGTACTCCACCATACCCGCTTTCAGTGAACGTAGTTATCGATTTGTTTGATATCCAGCAAGCAATTTTTGAAGCGCAATGACTCTTATAGGCAACATGATGGGTAGTAAGTAATCATTTGTTAAGTTATACAATTCTTTATAGTTGCGCACCTCGATACACTGTAGTCACTGGCTCTGAATACGAACATTGAGTGACTATAAACTCTAGATAGTCATCTCAATAATACGTACGTACGTATAGGGTTGGTTCGGTCTTAAAAAGACCGGTCAAGGACCGGTCTTTTTAACCAGTTAACGGTCCTTCGGTTTTCAGTCTTTTAATCAGTTCAGACCGGTTAACAATAAACTATTAAATTAAACTTTTAAATAGTTAAAAACCATTATTGCATAAATTTTATTCGATAATGATAGTTAAAAATGATAAACTACTTTCGTAAAAAATAGGTTATTTTGACGTGAAATAGTTTATCTTTGAGACCGAGGACTGACCGGACGGGACTGATGGATATATTAGGACCGGTCTTATTAGGGACCAGGACGGACTGGACCGGACCAAACCAACCCTACGTACGTACTGTAATAAAATTATTGTGATTATATAAAATATTTTTTTAATGAGTTGCAATAACTGCTATATAAAGCTTATTTTTTTTTAAAAAAAAAAAATCCAGGTTAATGATAAAGTTTATAAAATCTTGCATTGTTTAATGTTTAGTCAGCAAATTATATCGAAGATATCAAAGTTTAAATACATTTTTTTGAATATATATATAATTGTTTTAATAAAATTAATTTAATAAATAACAAACATCAATGCAGATAGAAACTCTTTTATATGTTAAATTAAATATTACAGTATAATATACTATATAAAATTTTGTATTAAAATTAAATAAGGCCATTACTTGGTTTTCATAACATGAAACTTTTAAATAGACCCGGCCGGCCGGCTTTTTTTTAAAAAAAAATTTTTTTACTGTAAGTTCTCAAATTTTGACCCGGCCGGGTTATGAAGACCAATTAATTTTGCATGGCCTAAATTAGAATTTTTATTTCTAATAATTAAAATAATTTGAATTCAGGATAAATTCTTAGGGTGGTTCAAGAATATTTCCATGTCCTGTGTTAAAATAGTTTACTAGTTATCTGGTTATGTACCAAGTGTGGGTTTTTTTGATATATCGAACCATCTCTAATATTGTTATAAACATTGCGAAACAGCAATTTAATTTAGGTTAATTCTCGCAAAATTTTTAATTTGAGTAATTCAAAAAAATCTTATTTTATTAAGAATTATACATTTTTTTTAAAAAAAAGTTGCTTTTAAAGTTATTTTAAATTTGAATTACAGTAATTCAAATGAATTAAATGAATATTAATTTTGTCTAAAAAGAAAAATCCTCCCTTTGAGCTTATCATACAAAATGTTAAATAGATAAAACTACATAAAAAAATACAATAACCTAAACTACAATTTTTTTCATCCGGTATAATGTTTATTAGCAATGCCTTCCTCCAATAAATTCTGACCAACTTTTAACTTCACCTGGATATTGACCATCAGATAGGCTGCCCAATTCTTGACGTTTTCTCTTAAAAGCTTCAACAAATAATCTAGCACATTTACTGTCATTGACCAAAGGAATGCCAAAATCTACAGCAGATCTTCTGGCAATATAATTCTCATCGCTTGTATCTGCTGCCCGAAGTTGTGCGAGATTGAAAACGAAATCAATCTTATTACTTTTGAACACTTGATGCAATGCGCGTTTGTTATGTTCTGGTAAGATTAGTGTTGTGGCTTTAATACCTCGTTTCGCAAGGTGTTCTGTCGTTTTTGGTGATGATGTAAATAATGGGTGTCCTAAATCTTTAGAGAGTGTATGAGCGACAGCATAAAAGTCATCATCTTCCGTCAAATTATCTCTTCCTAAAAGTATACCACTTCCTGGTTTAGGGATTCGGAAGTTTTGTGTAGATTGGATAGCAGACCAATATGCTTCATATTTGTCTTTACCGAAACAAGCAACTTCACCAGTGGATGCCATTTCAACACCGAGGAAAGGATCTGCACCTTGTAAGCGTGTCCAGGAAAATTGCGGTACTTTAACAGCTTGATAATCTTTCTTTAATTCCATAAGATCAACTGGCGCTGGAACTTGGTGATCACATAATGCATGCATAGCAATATCAATGAAATTTGTTCCAAGTACTTTAGACACGAATGGAAATGATCGTGAAGCACGAAGGTTGCATTCAATAACCTTCAGTTCTGATTCTCCATTTGGATTATCCTTTCTGATAACTTGCATGTTAAAAGGTCCAGTAATATCGAATGCTTTAGCAACTTTTGCAGCAATTTCCTTCAATCGTGCCATAGTTTCTGCATTAGTATCACTTGGAGGCAATACTAGAGTAGCATCACCAGAATGGACACCAGCGTTTTCTACATGCTCAGAGACTGCGTGAACTAATAATTTACCCTTATATGAAACTGCATCTACATCAATTTCAGCAGCAGGTGATATGAATTTGGTAATTACTACGGGATGTAATGGTGAAACTGATGCAGCCTCAGAAAGATTCTTATGTAAGGCCTCGCGTGTATGACAAACGTTCATGGCAGCACCTGATAAAACGTATGATGGACGAACAAGAACTGGGTATCTTTTTTTTCAAAAATTTCAAAAATGAACATTTTAATTAATAAAATTAATATTGTAAAGATGTAAGGACATAATAATATGATAATAATAGTAAGTATCTTTTTTCTTACCCAACTTTATCAGCAAATTGTTCAGCCTCTTCTAAACTGGATAATTCCTTCCATTCAGGTTGGTCTACACCGATTTCATCCAAAACTTTCGAGAATTTGAACCGATCTTCAGCTTTGTCAATTGAGACAGGGCTTGTTCCTAAGACATTTACTTTATTTTCATGTAAACGCAGAGCAATATTTTGTGGTAATTGTCCACCCACAGATACTACAACACCTTTTGCTTTTTCTGCTTCATAAATGTCCATTACACGCTCATACGAAAGTTCCTCAAAATAGAGTCTATCACATTCATCAAAATCAGTGGAAACAGTTTCTGGATTGTAATTCACCATGACAGTTTTCTTGCCCATTCTACGAAGGGCACGAATAGCTGAAACCCCACACCAATCAAATTCGACAGATGAACCAATGCGATATACTCCAGAACCTAATACCATAGTTCCGTAATCATTAAATTCTATGTCGTGAGATGTAGCATTGTAGGTGGTGTACAAATAATTCGTCTTGGCAGGAAATTCGGCTGCAAGAGTATCAATTTGCTTGACGTATGGTGTAATTCCATGATCCTTTCTCGCTTTGCGTACTTGATCTTCGGTAGTTTCTTGTAATAAAGTTGCAATTTGTGCGTCTGAAAATCCTTTTTTCTTGGCTTCTTTTAATAAAGTCTCGGATACATTTTCTAATTTTCCAGCATGTTTTAGATCATGCTGAATGTTAACAATATTTCCAAGTTTATAAAGGAACCATTTATCAACCTTGGTAAGATCATGAATTTGATCGATAGTGTAGTTCTTTTCAAGCATCGCTTGACCAATGGCAAACAATCGAAGGTCGGTTGGATCATTAAGTGTTTTATCAAGATCTTGGAATTCCAAGGATTGGAAACCCTTAAATGAAGGATCAACTTGACGGACGGCCTATGTAATTATAAAATGTATTAAAGTTTTTATGTTATAAAAAAAAAACAATATTTATATATATTCTTAAATTAAGAAAATTAGGAAAATTAGGCCTGTGATAATATACCTTTTGTAAGCTTTCTTCAAATGTCCTACCTATTGCCATAACTTCACCTACACTTTTCATAGAACTACCAATATTACGGTTGACGTGTTGGAATTTTCTTAGATCCCACTTAGGAATTTTTGTGACAATGTAATCCAATGAAGGTTCAAAACATGCAGTAGTAGTTTTGGTTACTAAATTTGGAAGTTCAGTAAGCGTGTGACCCAATGCAATCTTTGCCGCAATGAAAGCAAGAGGATATCCAGTGGCTTTGGAAGCCAAAGCGCTGAAACAATTAAAAATGTATCATAAATTAATTGAAAAATATTAGATGAAAATAAACATAAGGTTTACTAACCTGCTACGACTAAGACGAGCATTCACCTCAATGACTTTGTATTCAAGACTTCCTGGATTTAAAGCATATTGGACGTTACATTCACCAACTACCCCCAAATGACGGATAATCTTAATTGCTGCAGTTCTGAGCATATGATATTCCTCATCACTTAATGTCTGACTTGGAGCGACAACAATAGAGTCACCAGTATGAATTCCAAGTGGATCGAAATTTTCCATATTACAAACAGTAATACAATTATTTGCTGCATCACGAACAACTTCATATTCAACTTCTTTCCAACCTTTCATTGATTTTTCTACAAGGATTTGAGGCGACAGTGATAAAGATTTGGCAGCTAGACTGTGTAATTCTTCAGGGTTTGAGGCAAATCCAGACCCAAGCCCACCCAGGGCGAACGCTGAACGAATAATTACAGGATAACCTATTTGTTCAGCAGCTGCAAGAGCATCATCAATGGTAGAAACTGCAGTGGACTCCGCGACAGGAATATCAATTTCTATATGATGAAATAATGATTTGTTACTATGTATTTTATTAAAAGTAATTAACACTTTAAATATGAAAATCTTAATTATTTACCTTTCAAAGCCTGCGCAAATAAGTCTCTATCTTCACTTACTTCCAAAGTACGAATCGGCGTACCTAATACTTTAACATTATTTCGAGTTAAAACACCCATTTGATCCAACTTTATACCACAATTTAACCCAGTTTGACCACCGAAAGTTAGCAAGATCCCATCAGGTCGTTCTCGTTCAATGATATGTGTAAGGTATTCGGGAGTAACAGGTAGGAAATAAACGGTATCTGCTAAAGCATGTGATGTTTGAATAGTAGCGATATTGGGATTTACAAGTATAGTATGTATGCCTGATTCACGCAGAGCTTTAATGGCTTGCGAACCTATATAAAAATGGACAAAATTGATTTTAGTAAGTCTTTTATATTTTTTATATTTGACCGAAAGATAAATTTGACTTACCCGAATAGTCGAATTCGCCAGCTTGGCCAATGGATAAACCACCAGATCCTACAACGAGTACTTTTTTCACGTCTGCTTTGGGTACATTACTTAGAATAACTTCACTGACTTGCTTTGGTTTTGAATGTTCATATTGAGTAGATGTACTATAATAGTGATAAGATACTCGTGTTGTTGTTCTTAGTGCGTGTAATGGAGACGTAGAAGAAATAGGTCTGATATTATTATGTATTTTATTGGAGGTTAAAGTAGTATATTGTAATCGACTAAAAGGATTTGTGGTGGTTTTGCTATAACTACGTGAAGTTTGTATAAAGGAATTCTTGGGAACACGTGAAAGTATTGTACTAACATGTCGTATTGGACTTGGAGATCGGATGCAACTTTGATACATTATAGTTTTTTTTTAATAAATATATTCGTATTTTTCATCCAAAGGGTTGGCCTTTACTCAGAAAAATTTTCAAGTGTTTTAGGAGCATATTTATATACAATATTTTTATTACGCGACAACAAATACGCACAGATAGATAATCGTGAGTAACGATAAAGCAAGGCAATCTATAGATTTTAGATCATCTTTAGTAATTTCCCAGATGCCATTCTTGTAGAACACTACACAATCTGTAAATATATATCGTCAATTTTAAAAATTAGCGATCGTAATCGTCTGTTTTTTTATTTTTGATAGAAGATATTTTATTAAAGACCAATTTAATTTCGATACTTGAATTCAATGTGTCGGATATTTTTCAAAAGTTTAGAATAAAAATCGGGCTTTAGCAGTGGAATTAGTGGAATTGATATTTACACACCATGTGGAAATAATTAGAAAGTACATCGTCATGATCGTCATGATTATCTGGGATTTTTGTCAAGATTCGATTTAAGTGATGCGAAACAGCCAATAACGTCCATTATCTGAAAATTATCTGAATTTTAATTTATGTGTCTGCTTCTGGGCTAAAGCCAGATAACAAATTATTGGCTACAATAACGGTATTATCCGATTATAGTAAGCATAACTGTTTATTTTTGATAGTCCACCAGTTTGTACAATAGTTATTATGACGTAAGAATAATCTTAAAACGTTCTTTGGTGAATACTTGGAAATATCAACTTGTCGGACAATTATTTGGCAATTCTAGTGTGCGTTTTCATAATCTTTTTCTTTGCAACACTAGGCAATGCGTAGCATTGTGTGTCCGGAGTAGGGTTGGGCATGGGCATGCCTTCTGGGGCATGCCAAAAGACAAAAGGCATGCCAAATCACATGACATAGGCAATTAAAATCATTGGCTAAAATTAAATACCA